CAGGACGCGCTGCAGAGGAGACGCTTTGCCAGCTCTGCCCTTTCCAATGCTGACCCACGCAAAGGGGGTACCTTTCTCTGTTTTAGTTTGCTAAAATCCCCCTTCTCGCTTTAGAAAGTGGGGTTGCCTTTGCTGGGGGCAGGGAGGCTGGTCCTGCAGAGTGCACGACTCCTGGGATGAAGAGGGTGCTCAGTCCCTCCTAGGAGCAAGCTGTGTTTGTACAACACCCCTCTGGGCTTAGGAACACTGCTCTGCAGTGAAAGCAGTGAGCCTGACTTTCGGCCAGACTGTTCTTTTTCCCTTTACGGGCCCTGAAGCTGTCAACAGGCCGAGATGGGCCTGTTTTGTGCCCTGAATTTCTGCATCACATGCCCTTTCCCCTCCCACACCCCTCCAGGTTTTTGCATCATGGAGAGCTCTAGCAAGAGCTGTGCATCCAGGAGGCGGCCATCAGTGTGCTGACTGCAACCAGCTGGTGCCAAAATAGGTGGCGGTGGGTGCAGCGTACCCCTGCCGAGCCCCTTCTCGCTCCCTCCTGCTGCTGCAAACCCTGGCCTCACGCGGGTTGAGGCGATGTTGATGGAATTGCAGCCAGCTTGGCGAATAGCTGGGTTATGTTAAACAAAGGCGCTAATTAGTCAGGACTCGTTAACGTTGTTGCCGTTCTGGCAGCGATGTCTCTGGCGCAGACGAGCGCTGCGCTGTGGGCGCTGCAGCTCTCGGGGAAGCTGTAGTCTCCGGGCAGGCACTGCGCCGTTGGTGCTGGCACGCAGCCTGGCAGCGTCTGCCGTCCTGACGGATCAGCGCTGCCTTCCCGCCGGCCGGCACGGCGCTGTGCTTCCTCGGGCTGCTGCAGCCGCTGCTTTGCGCCATCGCCGCCGACTGCGCGCTCGGGGCGGGCTGAGACCCCGCCGGCTGTCCGGGAGGGAGGCGAGCGGCTTTTCTGTCTCTCTCTGAGTGCTGCTGTGCTGCTCAGGAGTGGAGCTGGCTGCCACGGAGGGGGACTGAAGGAAGAAGGCGTTGTTTTGAGTCTGGTGTGCCACTTGTTATCCTTTCAGCTGATGGGATCGCTGTCCGCTTTTCCCCTGGCTTGGAGGTTGCCCTGCGCATCCTCTCTGGGGTGGGCAGTCGTGTGCAGAGTGCTGCGGTCACGGAGGGAGAGGAGATGAGCACGCTCGTCCTTCCCTGCCGAGCAGGATGGGGTCTGGCTAGGTGAGGGGTGTAATCCCAGCTGACTCTGATTGCTCCCCCTGCGTCCATCCATCTGCAGCTGGGACTGCGGACCATGCCAGTGCCTATGGGATAGGTGGGACTGGGGAGCTCCTCGGAGTCGGGGGAGCTCACTGTTCCCGTGGGGGACCATCTGCTGAAGGAAACAGGCTGCAATAACAGGGATGCTCTGTGTCAGGATCAGAGCAGCCTGGTCGCTTGGTTAGCCTGCTGAAATGCTAAATGTGGAGAAAGCTGTTTTTAACACCGAATCTCCTCTCACTTGCCTGATCTCTGGGCAACCCTCTTGGGGGTGAGGCCAGTAGGTCCAGCCCTTGTAAGTCCGGGAACAGAGGGCGGAGGTGATCAGAGTTGGGTGACTGTCCATGGCAATAACTAGAAACAACCTGTGTCTGGCCTGCACAGGGTATCAGAAAAAAAGTCTGCTGCTAACCATATGGCTCATTTTGGGATACAGAAGGAGGTATGTTACTGCTGCAAGCATTTGGTTGCTGAGGAAGGATTCAAAACACATCTGTTAAATGTTGCCCATGGAAAGCCCTTGCTTCAGCAAGCAACTTATTATCTACAGGGAGGAAGGGGAAGCATTAAAAAATAATCATTATTCCTCTCTTTGTAGATGAAAGAATGGTAAACATTCCTTCACATCCCAGATAAATCAATAGCACAGCATTGCACCAGCTGGTGGTAAACAGCATCAGTCGATTCTGCTATTGCATTTTCAATCTGCTATTGAATCCTGAAAACTATGGGGACTGAACAGGCTTTGATGATCCCAAGGGATGGCTAGAACAAAGATTTGGAGGCAAACACTTTTATGGAGCAAATGGTCCAGTAAGGAAGTGATTCATGCGCTGAAGCATATGTGGCTTGTGCCGTGGCGGGTGCTGTGCCTCCCAGCTGCCTTCTAGCTCCCCCCCTGTGCTGCTGGGATGTGGCCTGCCAGATGTGCTGGTCTGCCCAAGGAAGAGCCTCTCTTCAGAGGCAAGGAAGGCTGTGTGGGCTTCGCTACCCTTGCTGAAACCAAGTTCTCAGCATCAAAAGGCTTCCTTGGGATTGGACATTCAAGTGCTTGCAGCTGGGGACAGAATTTCTAAAGCATCTGGGCTCCCCAGCCCTTTCTCTCCCCAGACAACTTTGGTGGATCTAAATGCATCAGAGCATTATCACAGCAAAGTGACAGGAACAGATCAGAGATGCCACAACGCAAACCCATCAGGCACAGGTTTCCTAAGGATGGCTGAGGGCTGCATCACCCTCTTCTGCCTGTCTGATTGCCCCCAGCTAGATCCTAATGCCAGCTGGTGGGGTGGTGTAATGCCACTTGCTTTGCCCGAAATCCCTGCTGTACCCCACAGACTCTGCAAAGAGCTTTCTTTTCCTCGCTTTTACCTGGCTCTGCACTGGGATTTTTGTCTCCTTTCATTGATTTGATTCGAGTGAGCCTGGCCAGTTCTTGGGCAAGTCATGTCTTCGTTTCTCTGAGCTGCTACAGAGGAAGGAAAGTCAACAGCAAGAGAAATGTACAGCAGGGGCTGCAGGGAAGGAGCATCCTCCACCATCCTGAACGAGGTGAATTGCTCTAAAGCTGCTCAGATCTGCTGTGCAGGTCAGAGCAGGTGAACTGAGGCGTTCTGCCAAGTACTGGGCAGGCGTTGCTGCTGGTGTAACACACCCTCTCCGCTCACTTCCCTCGCTGTCTTCACCACCTTGTCTGTGCATCTTTTTGGCACTGCTTCCTCCAGCCCTTAGCCAGAGGAGACAAGAAGGTCACTTCAAAAAGAGCCACATGGAAAACACAATCCAGATGGAGGAGGACTTGGTGGTCGGTCTGGCAGGCAGCACGGGATCCTCAGGAATGGGAATGTGGGGGGTACCACAACTTCCACCACGACTGGGTACTTGTGGAAGCGGATGGAGTTACAGTGGGTAGCAGCTAGCCCTGCTCACACGGTCCTCTTCAAAACCTGCAGAGCAGAAGAAGCCGAAGCCTCCGTCTCCCATGTGACCATGAAGGTCTCTTGCGGTTGCAGACCAGAGCCTGGTTCCAACTGCCACGCGTGGAAAGTCCCACCCTGTGTTTGCCAGCCTGGGGACGTCACAGAGCACACAGCTGGGAGGGCTTCAGGCACAGTAAGCACCGAGCTGAGCTGTGACGATGAGCTGGGACAGTTCAGACTGATTGCATCTCCTTGCAACTCGTTCCTGGCTGGCAGCTCTTGATCTGCTGCGTGCGAGCAAGGTCCCAGCAGAGAGGATTCCTGGACCCGTTTCTCACCTTTGGAAAAGGCAAGGCAAGGAGCTGCATTCCTTGTGGGGTCTGGTGATGAGGCCTTGAAGCAGCTCCTGGCACTGTTGAGCTCTTGGCCTGAGAGCTGGAAGGCTGTCGCTTGCCCAGGCTCCTGTTTGTCTCCTGCTCTTCTTGTAGCAGTTCTTGGAAATCCTTTTCCAGGGGATTTTGGCATGCCCCTGGAGTGGAAAACACCTGCTTCTGTGTTGCTCTTTGGCTTAATGCTTGTTTTATCCTGTTACCACCTTCCTGACTAAGTCTCCAGAGGGTGATGCTCGCAGCCCTGCTCTGCCTGAGATGTCAGGCGTCTTTCTTCCTGCCCGGCACCGGCCCTCAGAGGGAGCATCCCTTCACCTTGCGGGCTCTTTTTCTTGCTCTGTGTGCTCAGTCATCCCTTCCGCCTCTACTGCTGCCAGAAATCATGTGTTTCAGGATGGCCAGGAATCCCCTCATGAAAATAACTCATCTTAATGACTGTGTCTTCATTTAGGAGAGTCCAGCTCCCAGTTTATCAGTCTTCCTTAGCTAAACGATTTTCCACCCACGTTAGCGTTCTGCCTCACTCTCTCCTGTTGCCCCGAGCTAGCTTGTCTGCAGTGAAAAGGCATCTCTTCCCTGGTTGCATCTCACCCAGTTGTCTGTGCTGCAGGGCGACCTTGTGCTTTCTGTTGAGGTGCTCCCGTAGCACTAGCTGCTTGCAGAGCTGGTGTTCACGGGAACGAGGGGCTCCTGCGTGATAACAGGATCTGTGCCATCCAGGTCTTTGCCTGTTTAATGACACCTGTGGCATGTGAGCAGTCCTTCCCTTCTGCTTCACCATGTTTGCCTCTACCATGAAAAGTGATCATCCAGAAAGGAGCACCCACCCCTTGCTGCTGGTAACAGAGACTGTTTTTTTGGGGTGGCAGAACAGCTCGGTGCTGGCTCCAGTGTGACTGTCTCTTGATGCACAGCTTTTTCAACCACAGGGGCAACATTTGTGAACCCTCCATCTTCCTTGAAAAGCCCTAAATTGGATAGGGAGAGCTGAAGACGCATGTCGTGCAGGAACACCCACAGCTCTGATGCCCAGCAGTTGCACGTGGGGATGCTCTGCATCCACCTGGGAGCGTGGCAGTTGGGAGTAGCAGTACTCCCTGTGCTAAAGCACAGTTGATGTCTTACAGTGGCTTAGAAATGAGCTCGAGAGCAAAGCTCTTTGGGGCAGTGTTGGAGTACAACTCCTCGTGAGGCCCTGGGGTGTTGGGCACGCACGCTTGTGGCCTGTCTGGCTGCTGCTCGCATTTCCTTTGCTCCCCAAACCACCCCGGCAGCTCGGCTGGCCAGGATGAAGGAGAACGGAGGAGGAAGAACTACGCCTTTGCTGGCCTGTTCGTCACAGCACTGCTTTCCCCTGATCTCTCCCAGAAGTAGATTCGGGAAGGAAGGGCAAGGGTCCCCCCCGAGCCAAGTGACAGGTCTCTCTTTTGCCTCCTGCCAGGTGGAGTCATAACATCACTTGTGCAAATGTTTCCTTTCCTAGGCTGGTGGAAGGCAGCCTCCATGACGGGCCTGATGACCAGTAAGGAGCTCATCTCCTCTCGCCCGGAGTTGGGCGCCGGGCAGAGGCGTGCGATGCTTGCTGGCTTAAGCGAAGCCTTGCTGGGCAGCTCCAGAAGGATGGGCTGGGAGTTGAGGTGACTGCTGATGCTCTCGGCGGTAACTTGCTCTGGGTGTTGTGTGATGTTTGTTGCTTAATCCCGTAACACCTCCGAGGGGACCACGCTGCTGATGCTGGTGAGCTGCTCGGGTGCTCGTGCCTGGGTGTATGAGGAGCAGGGACTATATTTAGGAAAATGCAAAGATATCAGTGTCGTGTGCTGCAAATAGGGTACCTATTGTAAAGCTCGTTTGTTTTCTATACCCTGTGATTTGCGCTGTGTCTTGCTGGATTTGAGTATGTGGAAGTTTGAGAGAGAGGCTATTTTGTGCTAAGGATGCGAGGCTCGTTCTGCCATACTTGAAACAGGGCCTGAAGCTTAGTGTATTGCTGGGTCTCTCCTTATCAGGTGCCAGCTGCAGGGTGTGAGAAGGTCCCACATCAGCTGGGGCCATGTGGGAATGCCTTTTCTCCTTTGACGCCGCAGATGATGTAATCCTCTATCCCAGTGAGACTACAGTGTCCTTGGGTTGAGTTTGATCTTAGCTGGCCTCTGGTGTGCACAAAGAAAGTCCAGCTGGGACCTGGCTGGCGTCGCTTGGGGTACGTGGGGAGAACTGGAGCACAGCAGCTACAGGCAGACCCCTGGGTGTACAGCACAGGGCACCGACATCTGCCAGTGGGTTCTCCCATCTGCGGTGCTCACAGTCCTAGCGGTAGCCATTTCTGATAGCAAAGCCTTTGTGGGGCTTGTAGGGATCAGTTGGAGCAGCCTCTTCTCCCCCTCTAACCCTAACCTTTCTCCTTGGCGTCCTGGCCAGTGACTTGCTTGTCTCCCTTCTCTCTAGCTCACCCTGCACATGCCCGTCATACCTCACAGCATGTCTGATTTCTTCTCTCTCTTTCTCATCTCTCTCCTTGTGCAGCGACACCAACCGAGCCAGAAGCAGTGGTGAAGAAATACCTGGAAGAGGTGAAGGGCTCTTCTGCCGATGAGGTGAGAGGCCAGTGAAGTGACTCCGGCTTGCCCGGTGGCCTGTTCACTGGGGTGCTGTGAAAACCACAGCGATGCCTGAGGACCGTACTTCCTTGGGCATCCCATGTGGTAGATGCTGCTGCTTGCAATGGCACTGTTGATGCTAGGTGGAGAGGCCTCAGCACTGCCTGAAGCCCACACGTGGTAACCGGTGACTTGTCCTCGTCAGAGGACTGTGACAGAGAAAGCACGGTGTGGGTTGAGTAGCTAATCCTAGCAATGCCTCCCCATTTCCCTTGGAGCTGGCCGCAGGGCCTGGGGTGGAAGAGGGAGTTTGACTTTGGTCTCCTCTCAATGCTCATAGAGGTCAAAACTACAGAGATCAAAACCCCGCACTGGAGCTGCTCTGTAGAGGAGCAGGACACATCCATACTCAGTTCCCACTCTGACTGATGGCAGCTCTCTTCCTGTGCTGTCCAGGAGGTGGTGGAGTGGGGTGGTACCAGCCAGATAAGGAAACCTGTCTCTGTGCCCTTAAACCTCAAAGGGAAGGATTACAGTTGAAGGCAAATCTTCTGGAAGCATCTCCTCGATCGCTTCCTTGGTGGGTCAGTCATTACGATCAGCCTGTGCTCGCACTACATGGTGGTTTTCTCCTTGCTGTCCCGGACTCTAGGACTGTATCATCTGCATGGAGAAGCTGTCCTCCCCCTCAGGTTACGGCGACGCATGCGAGTGCAGCACAATCAAGCCGGAGACAGTCGGTCGTCTGACAAACTGCCAGCACTCCTTCCACATGCTCTGCATGCTGGCCATGTACTCCAACGGGAACAAGGTACCAAGCCAGCCCATCCCCACCAGGTCCTCTGCGCCCGGGTGACTCGGCTGTGGAGCTCTGATGCCTGCTTCTCTCTCCCTGCAGGATGGGAGTTTGCAGTGCCCCTCTTGTAAAACCATCTACGGAGAGAAAACCGGTACTCAGCCCAAAGGGAAGATGGAGGTCTCCACTTTTCCCCAGTCCCTCCCTGGCCACAAGGACTGCGGGACGATCCAGATTGTGTATCACATCAGCAGAGGCATCCAGGTGAGCGCACAGCACGCTCGCAGGAATGGCTGCTGCCGGATAGCACAAGCTGTGAGAACCTCCCAGAGAAGTACGGGGATCTGGTGCAGTACCTGCTGGCAGCCCGCCGCTGAGCAGCCTACGGTGCCTGGAGCCAGCAGCAAGCTGCACTGGCTGTTCTTCAATGTATGGGTGGCTTGAGTCTCCTCTGTGAAAGATCTTTTCCCCCTTTGAGTGTGGCCCCGGGGTCTACAACAGCCTTTCACCTACAGTAAAGACTAATGTCTGTGTGAAGCAGAGAGGAGACTCGGCCCATGCTCACAAGGTGGGAGAGATCCCAATGTCTGGTTTCGCAACCCACGTCTGAGGTTTTGGTGGTTGCAGTGAGCTTGCAAAGGTTTGAGCTGGGTGATCTTTTTAGGGTGTCATCAGACCACATGGAAAAAGCTGTGGTTTGGGGATGTCTCCCACCAGAATTTAAGTAGTATGAAGAGCTGGCTTTGTAATCCCGCCGTGAGACCGCTCTTGGAGGACCCGTAAGATGTCCCATAAGAACAAGTCAGATACCTCATACCCATCATCAGCAATACCTTACTCCCTTTACATGGGAGAGCTGCTTTGAGATGGACCTATGTCAAATCCCGCTGCTGAGGGATTGTCCAACTCATGAAGATGGATGCGTCTGTGCCAAATATGTCTTACCTTTTGCAGGGCCCTGAGCACCCCAACCCTGGGATGCCTTACACAGCAAGAGGCTTTCCTCGCTATTGTTACCTACCAGACAACGAGAAGGGCAGAAAGGTAAGGTATCACACCCTGATAACGTGACCCTTCTCAGGTTGTCTCTTGGCCCTGTGTTGGTGGATCAGCACAACAGGGTTGCTTTTGGGAGCTGTCCTCGTGATGCTAGGACATAGTAGTTGTCCTAGTCTTAGTAGTTGTCCATGCTGTTTGTTCCTTACGTGTATTTGTAACCCCTCTGCCTTTGAAGTTCTTTGCTGCTTCTTCACAGCTTTGACTGTGAAGACTTACTCTCCTTCATCCCTTTACCAAACAAAATCCCGTCTGATCTTTCGGGAAGACGCTCCTAGCCTGTCTTGGGCTATGCAGTTACAAGGGTTTGCACTGAAAACTGCTGAGCTCACAAAGTCTGGCTGCTGGCTCTTCCCATCCCTGTTTCCTCTAGGTGGGTGTGTTTGTCTCAACTTGTGCCAGTATTTTTCAAATCCTGGAAGACCAGCATGTGCAGGGAATGGCCCTTCCCATCAGGGGAACGATATGGGTAACTAGGAGGTGAGGGAGATCCCTTCTGAAGCTGGGATCTCTGGTTTCCTCCTGCTGTAGCAGGGATTTAGGCTGTTAGGCTTCTGGCAAGCTGCTCTCATGGTTCAAGTCTCCTAGCTGCTGAAGGCCAGCTTTGGTTTTTCTCCTTCCACCTCTAGGTCCTGGAGCTCCTAAGGGTGGCCTGGAAGAGACGCCTGATTTTCACAGTGGGCACCTCCAGCACCACCGGCGAGAGCAACACGGTGGTGTGGAACGAGATCCACCACAAGACGGAGATGGACACAAACCTGAGCGGCCACGGCTACCCTGACCCCAACTACCTGGACAATGTGCTGGCAGAGCTGGCCGCGCAGGGCGTCACCGAGGACTGCCTGAGACAATGAGCTGGGGTGGGGGCCCGCCTGTGCCGTGCACGCGTCGGGGAGCCCTCCTAGTGCACTTATTCCTGTTGCCTTAAGTTCCTGTGTCTGACCGTCTGTCACACTGAGCAATAACACTGTACCGCGGGAGCCCGGCCTGCTCTCTACAGTCTTTTTTTCAGGAGGGAAGGATATTTTTGTAGAAACTGCGCTTGCGCCTCTGGGTGGGGTTGATGGCCACATCTGGGACTGGCTGGGAGAGTGGTCCTGAGGTGACAGACCCCCTTGTGAAGGCAGAACCTTGCCCTGGCAATGCTTGGGGACAGGACGGAGAGAGGGGGGTATCTCGCTCCCCGTAGACCAGCTGGAAAGCAAACGGGGGCCTCCCTCCGGCACACCGCAGCTCCCTCTCTCTGAGGCACCTCTTACAGCGAAGCCTCCTGCCTCCTGCCCCTGTATCTCTGCTTGGTCGTAATAAACACTTCATTTCCACGGCAAGTTGCTGCTTTGCCTTCAAGCTGCCTGGTGGCTTGGGGTGCCTCCCCCTTCGGTGGCCCTTTCTGGGGGACCAGCCTGCTCCGCAGGGCTGGGGACACTCGATCCAGCCAGGAGAAAGGAGGGAAAGCCCAGCTCTGCTGGAGGGACAGGAATCGCAGCAGGGGCAGGACACGGGGCGCTGGTCCCAGGGGTCAGGGGTTGCAGGCTGTCAGCACCTCACCCCCCACCCCCGCAGCCTGGTGGTCTGTGGCCATGGTGCTGGCAGAGGTGACCCAGCAGTGTCCGTCCTGGGGGAGGGAGCAGCCCCCTGCTCTTGCTGTGAGCCGCCATCCCCGCTCCTATCGTCCTGAAGCCCTTCTGGCAGGACCTGCCCCTCTTTTCCACACACCCCAGACCCCCCTCCCAGGTGAAATGGCAGCAGTTTGAGGCTGTTTGTGTCCGGTGAAGCCTCTGCAGGGAGGAGGCTGTTCAACAGCTTTGTGCTGGTGCCACCAGGCGGTGACAGGCCACCTTCCTCCCCGCCTCTGCTGCCGGCTGGGCGGTGAGCAGCATGGCAGCGATGCCAGGCTGCCAGCAGAGATGCCCTCCGGGCGGGAGCATGTTCCTGCACCGTCAGCTCTGCCTGTTACCAGTGCTAGCGCCCTGCGAAAGGGGTACTGCCCCCAGTCCTGGTGGCCTTGCTGTACGTTGTCCCCGAGCTTCTCGTTCACCCGGTAGCCGAATCCTTTCTAAAAGTTGTTTCTGGCTGTTCCCTTCCCTGTGGCCGCCGGCCCCAGCTGCAAGTCCCGGGAACTCTGCCCACGTTCAGTCCCTTTGGCACTTCAGAGGTGCCATCTGCCTGTTCACCTCCTTCCCGGGAGATCCGGGACGTGGCCGTGCTTCGTGGTAGCTGCTGGCTCGGCATCCTCCTGGGACCAGCATGTCCTGGACCAGCAGAGGGGCAATTTTCTTTCTGTCACACCAATATAAAAACGAGAGGTTTTTCGGAGCCGTCAAGGGCTGGAGCTTTCCCTAGTGTCCATCTTGTGCTTGCAGCCTCCTGGTTACCCTCTGCTGCAGGTTCTAGGGAGAAAGCTCTCAAACACCCAGCCGAGTCTGGGGACGCTGCAAAATTGGGAGCTCCTTGGGAGCAGCAGGTACTGCTACGCACGTCTGTGTGCTGCTGAGCTCTACAGAAAGGGGCTGTGTCTGCTCCTCTCCCGCCCTGGTTGCGAAAGGGGGAGATTTCGAGTTTAAATTTCAGCTTTCTATCTCCGGATCATGTTCTCCCGGCAATCAAAACAGTGAATTGAAGCGAAAATTGAGCAGGGTTCACCCAGCCCTGCACAAAGCAAGAATTTCC